TCGTCTATCCTCATATTCGAACTCACATGACATACCTACTCTTTCTTAGAGACTAGATTACAGAAGTCTTCATACTTGAAGTTTTGCTGCAGCAGTTTATTTTGTTTCTGTTATCTTTCATAGGTGTTCTTATCTAACTAAAACAAAACTGTTCGAACAATGCCAAAATTGAGTAAAGTGTAAATACTGGTATTTCGATTTATTTCACACAGGGTGTGGGTGTGGGTGTGAGCGTACTTCATGACCCTATCTACGTCCACATCCCACACCCATCCATTTTATACGATTCAAGCGGTGTTGTCTATGTGTTTTAATTGCGTTTTGCGACTAAACTAACATAATTTCTATAATTCTACATATGAAACTCAATATGGGTAATTGTATCATAACAGAAAAAGATTAAGATTGCAACTAAAGAGCCATATGATAAGATATCGTATAAATTAGTTTAAATTCTACTTAGAGAATGCTAAAATTTGTTTTTCTAGAAATATGATGCGCTTTCCATTGATTTATCCTATATTGATCGCAATTGAAGATAAGCTCAATGGAACATCATGACGAAAGCTTATTATAGAAAAGATATTTTTAATTATTGGATTGAATTTTGTCATTGAAGAGATATTATTTTCTAACTAATCACTATTGTTAAATAATACATAGAAGTACGCAGTGGTACAGCCTCGTTCGAACGATGAAAATAAGAGCTGTCTATCGTGTTCCTATGAAAATTAATTCACAAGTAAAGACTGTTCGGTGACTTTTGGATCACCTTGTATAAAATAAATCTTGTAAATTTATAAGAGTAGTACTCAAGATGACGAAAACGATGAGTAAGTTTATTCGATAAATACTAAAACAACATATTTTCTTTTTGAATTATTTGAATAGAATGTAGGATAATAATATATGTAATTTTTTCGGTCTAATAATAAAATATGATCGAATAAGTAGCATACATTAAGAACTATGTATATGAGCAAATGACAGGTATGTAGTAGTGCCCTCTACATTTGCAGGAATGATACATTAATGAGTGAGTTGTCGTGTTGGCATATGAGTAATGATGAATACATATTCTTTTCTTTCGTTCTGTTCTTTGATGTTTTTTCTATTAAAGTAAAAAAAATATTTTCTTTTTACCTTGATATTTTTCTTTCTTTTCTGCTACAAGTAGTTGTTGTTGTCATTCGGAATTGACGTATTCAGATAAAAGTAACACATTGAAGAAAATCAAAATTGTTATTCGAATACAAGAATGGCTGATCAAACACAAATAATAATTATAACATCAGATGAAGATATTATTCGTCAATTTGCTTTTAACAAAAATAAAAATACGTATATTATTTATATGGATAATAATAATAGGATTAATTCAAATTTTCTTCCTGAATTAACTAGAAATGATTAAGTTAATAAACGAACAATTGATACTACTGATCATAATCAATCAAAATCAGTTAAAACACAAAAGAAATCAACTGATCTAATTTGTACTATTTGTGGTGATCGTGCTATTGGATATAATTATGCGGTTCTTTCATGCGCATCATGTAAAGCGTTTTTTCATCGAAATGGTCATCAAGATTTGGTTAGTTAATTCTCTTCTTTTTTTCTGTTTAATTTTATGTTGCCCATATCGAATGATATGATCCGCTTGCGGTTACTCCTAAAAGGCCCGTAAATAGTGAGGTTACAGCACAT